CTCGAGCCGCTGGGTCCTCCTGTTCGGTGGGTATATTCTAGTCGTTGCACTGCACCGTCGCGGACCAACTCTTCGGTGGTGAAGGTATTGCGAACTTGAATTACCTATATCGCGATTGATAGGTTGTTCGTTTTAAATGAAAGCCAAGGCTTAATGTGATATCCATGCGTAAAAGGGGGTTTAACCATCGAACTTCGCATTATAGATGGATATGCATATACCAAGATACTTGCTCGTGCAGCTGGATATTCATTGCTCACGTGACTACCCCTTTTCTCTATAGTACTTAAGTAGGTACGGTTGCTCAAAGACCATACCAGGTATCGTCTTCGGACGATCCCAGCGCTTGAAAACTTGAAATATAGCCTTGATAAAGTAGCAGCTTGAAGAGTTTATTATATACGGCGGTGTTTTTAGCCTACAGCCACCGCGCGGACTCTCTGTCTTGCCGCTTCTTCCTCCTCGGTCTGATCTTTGTTCTAGGCAGTGTAGGCAAGTACGATGAAATATGTATAAATTTTCAAATACAACCCTCTACCCGCTGCATGGCCGTCAGTAGCTGTGGCGTCTACAGAAAATATAGTTTCTAGTTCGGTGGGTCAGGATTGGCTTTGCATCAAACTCAAACAAGTTGTCGCATTCCAACAATTCGTTGATATTTCGCCGCCCCTTGGATCTCATGACCAGAACCGCTTGTGAACTGGTCTGTGGATACTTGACACTCTAGCGGATCTGATACTTAAGCTGTTACGCCTGTAAAAGGGGAGTGGTGTATTTCATGATGATTTCAACAACAAATACAGGAAATCATCGGATTGAATATCAACATGTTCAACGGGCGCTTAAATACGCTCATTTACGGTCGAGTCAAAATTCCCTCTACCTCAAAGCTTTAATGAAGCAGATACTTGGCTTAACACGGAGCGGAGGAGAGGCCTGCGCGAACGTGTCTCTCACAATAGAGTACTGGTCCCGTCACAAGATCGTTATGGGTACTGATGGCAACCTCAGGTTCCTGCTTCGTTCTCGTTGAACATAGCTCGCGGACGGCAGGGATCTGCTTCTTGACCAGCTAGAGAGAAATCTCATTTGCCCCCATCTTAATATTAGAGTTTTGTACCCTTATCCCATGAACGGTCCACTATCAGCCACCAAAAGAGTGCTTGATGCTGGACGCAGCGGAGAAAAGAGAACTGGCGCTTGTACCCGCTGCGCTACCTACTTCGCAGTGGGATTCGAATCGGAAGATATCCTTATAGAAGTCTGGCAGGATTTTGGGCCGGAAAGCTCACCTTTGGACCTCGCTTAGAGATCCCAATGTGTGTTGCCCGGTTTGGATGGCATTGACAATACGCCCTTCTCGAAACCCACGCTACAACATGAGCCAAGAAGCGTAAGGGACCTTTTTTTGCTACGGAAGAGTACCTCGTTCCTTAAAAACACATTAGGACTACCCGTAAACGTTAATCCGACAGTCGACACCGATAACGAGGCCTTCGTTGATCCTCGGAATGTCGATCTACCGGCCTATCGGGCCAGTCATAGTCGGCAGTCGGGCGCCGAGTGCTGCGGCTCTAGTAGGAACATAACGCCGACATTTTCATAGAAACACTGACAGCTCGACCACTGCATTGGAGCCATCAGCGTCAGGCTTTTTGACAGTCACACTTGTACGGATCCGTACAGAGGCACTCGGGTTGTTCGCGGTAGCAACAGCTATGACTATATCTGACGGAGATCAGAGTGACTGATAATGGAGAACACACTTGGTCAGAGCCTATGCACAGAGCGCAGATATCGACTTCGAATGGAGGAAATACCTAGAATTTAATACTGTACGAAGGGTCATTGCGAGGCACCTTTAGTTATCGATAACCAACAGTTTCATTTTTGATCAGATATTAAAATTCGGCCCGTTGCCACCTGCCAGCTCTAAATCAAGTCACTGGCAGAGAATTAGGTAGACGTAGCTTATCGCCAGTTCTCGGTAGTTATCGCCATCCTTGTCCAGACAAGCCCATAAAGTTGATAGGTATGACGGCATTGCGCCTGGTTCCTTTTTGGCGTCAGCTCTTGGACGATCATTGATATCAGGAGTCCAAGCTTGACTTCTGCCTCTGATCTAGCCGTTGATGGGCTGAGATGCTGAGTCTGCGTGGCCTAAGGGGGGCAATGCCCTCCGTGAGTCCACGCCGTGCTTGTTCTCGGCTATACTGGAGCTTCACCAGCTCTTTTATATGGTCACGCACATGGGGTGCACAAAAGTTGTCTACACTTGGACAATGGAACAAGAGCCAGCTAGAAGCAACTTTCGCAGAACATCAATCGGCTAGTTTGGCCTCCAAAGTTGTCGACAGCAGCAAAATTACGGCCAGGCCTGGTGCTACTGAGGACACCGCCACTCTAAGAGCATCAACAGAGAGTAACAAGCAACTAGAAGACCTCTGTAAATCAGTAACAGCGGTCATGGCAAAACTCCCCCATCCCGCCGTAGTCATCACGACTCTTGACCAGACATACGATGCACAAGCAGCCGCCGGTGTACCGATCGACAAGATGCGACATCCCATTGCCCGCGGTATCACCGCCTCCTCGTTGACCTCCCTATGTGTCCGCCCGAAACCCCATGTCATGTTCAACATGACACTTCCGAGCACCATGTACGACGCTCTTGTCGCATGCAAAGACTTTAACGTTCACGTCCTCACCCCTGATGAATCCGGCGCAAGAATCGCTAGCGTTTTCACGCGTGGCAACCGTCTACCCTTCCCAAGCATCGGAGAACGCGAGTCTCCAAAATTTGCCTTCGATATAGACGCCGACTTGGGCGTATTTATAGGGCTCAAAGACGAGTCTTGCCACCACGTGGAGATTGTAAATCGAGAAGCGTGGCACGAGCAGTATCAACACGCTAAGGAAAACGGCATCCGAGCTTCGCGGCCGTCGACAGCGGTAGAGGCTGTCGCGCAAGAATACGAAGTCGTGGAGCGCGCAAGGCAAGCTCACAGCGTTCCTTTTCTGCGGTCGTCAGGGATCATGGAGGTGCTAAATTGCCGTCTGGTGCGCGCGATACACCCTGAGTTGCCTGGTGCTGAGCAGAACGTCGTCATCATTGGCGAAGTTGTCAATGTGACGTTTCCCAGGGGCTTAGGACAAAGCAACGAGACGTCCGTCGCATTGGGATATGCCGATAGAAAGTATCGGTCGATTGGTAGTGCCATTCATCCCCTGAAATAAACAACCTGAACTACGGACCAGAATCTTTCAATGACGAACTACAAGATGACTGTACCTATCACAAACGGACATCGGATGAGGAAAGGACTGGGCCCACGAAGCCTAGGAGGAATTAGAAAGAGAAGACGCGGGTACCAAAGGGAATATATAAACCGGTAGCTCGCCTCTACAGGCAGGGCTCGAAGGGTGAGCTACGTCTCAGTATTCGGCGAAAGCAGCCTATATTATATCGGTCTTTCCATTGGCATACAGAAGCGTTTGAAGAACGGCTTTCCGAGAGATTACAGGGCACATTTCTTCATGGCGGCGACAACTGTACATATGACTGTGAATTAACGTAGACGGATGCATAGATAGATATTAGGCATAGCGATACCCACTGGTCAGCGCGAAGTTCATTGTATTAGAGAGGTACGGGATTTACATATAGATCTACATCAATCGGCCACCTCATAGACGAGTTCAATAAACTCCGGTAGAATGGAGCACTTGATTCTTCCTACCCGGCTCAAGCCTTGCTGTACGTGACGAACGATTTATGCTATCAGGGATGGGCAGATGCAAATGAGGTGCTTGTGACTTTTCTGTCGGTTTCGGACGAGGTTTTGCTTGTCTGCTCGGTTAAAAGGGGCCGGGCGACCTTCGTAACGCATTTAATATATCTAGACGAATGACAAGCCACGGCAAAGCAGAAAGCCTCGGATTTAGTAATTGAATACGCAGCCAACGTAATCTTGAAATCAAGAGAGGAAATCCCGTATCGCCGGCTTAAATCAGAAGATCATACACTGTTTGCATATCAACATCTCTCAAACCGTTCGCGAACGTCTTTGATAGGACGAGTTGAAATGCCGAGGCAGTCGGAGACGGATATTTGGTGCAGACCTAGAAGGTCTCGTGACGTGAGGTTGCGCCGGGAATCGATAGACGTAGCTGTGCCATCAATTCGCAGCTTACCTACAAAAGAACAAGCTAAATTGGGCACGAGGGACTGGCAATCACAAGACAGGTGGAGCGTAGCTTTCCCGTGTTTACGCACGCGGAACTACGCCGAGTACCGCTACATCCGCCATCTTTCATATACAACATCCGGCTCACCCGTAACGCTTTATTTCCTGAGTATGTACCGGCTCGACTGGAGTAGTGTAACGTGGAATATGTCTTATAGGGAGTTGAAAGTAGTAATCAGCTTAGTAGTCATGCTAGGTAGTATGAATATTATGCCCACGACTCAAGGTCATCAATGTCCCAGACCAGAAGCAATGAAGGCCAACAGGAATTCATGTAAGCCAAACGCGCGCCCCTAGTCTCGTCACCAGATCGCCGCGTGAAGCACCCGAGGCAGTTGGCTGGCGCTACTGAGTAGAAGGGAGTCGCATGCAACACATTGAGATTCATAGAGAATCTTCGAAGAACTTCCTGAAGAGCTGCGAGGGTAGCTTCTCCGTTCTGTCGGACCGGTCGGGACGCGACTCGGCGTACACAAGGAGCGCGCCAGTTATTCTGGAGCCTTCGGACCTTCGCGGGAGCACCCCCGTTGGAAACTTCCCGCCGGCTACCGCGGAATGAGTCATTGCACTCTCAATCCGCGCGGCGCCGCTCGAGCCGCAGGGTTAATCATAAGGCTAACGCTAATTAAGTGGGGCGATAGGGGGGGGCATGAGGGGGGTGGGGGAGGCGACAAGCCAAGGCCAACGTGGGGCAGAGGCGAAAAGAATATAATCAGCGCAACGTAGCTGCCTTTCACTAGCCAACAAATCATCGGTGGTATCGTATAGTGGTTAGTATGCCGCGTTGTGGTCTTGTACTCACAAATCAAAATCCGCGTCGACGCCGGTTCGATTCCGGCTACCGCCAATGAAACCCTATTTTTTCCCTCCATTTTTGAGTTTTAAATTTTGCTATTTTCCCTCTCTTCTCGGCTAGGTATCCGCTGGGTTTACTGGATCTTCTCATCGATCTGAGGACAGCTTGGCTGCCCGTGATTTCCGTGCAAGCGTGGTTGAAAGAAGAGGGCCCGTTGATGGCCAGGCTAGGTACTAATTGATTATCGATTATCACAATTACCGGCCGCCTAGGATCTAGTGTAGCCGACCGGCACACCCGAAGGGGGGCGGATACATTTCACACACGGCTTGCGCCTCCGCTAGGTATATGCTAGGTACCGGTAGGTCATTTCATTGATTTCGGATCAGAATCTTTTCCCCTCCATTCTGACCAGAGTAGGTAGGTAGGTAGGTAGGTAGGTAGGTAGGTAGGTATTGCAGCCAGATGTCTCAATGCCGATGATAACCCCTCACCGAAGTGGCAACCTACCTATGACATTATCATCAGGATCTACTACTTCTTCTTCTTCTTGTTTGTTGTAAGTTGTTGTGGTACTAGAAACTAGTCTAGTATACCTATTGCGGCATTGGCGTTCGCTGCAGAATGATCTGGCCAATCCAGGCAGCAGCTATTGAAGACCACGAATGCAAATAGATAGCTATTGATTGATGCTGGCTGGTATCACGACATGCGGAATACCGGCGGGAGGTTGTTAGGTAGGCAAAAGTGTATCTGTCTTGTCCGTCTCAGAGGGTGTGAACACTCTCTGCAGTGCAGGGAAATCATCAATGAAAAATCCCCGGCCATTAGTAATAACGCTAGCGATCTTAGCGTGCATTTAAATACAGTGCAAATTACACAGTATCCTTAATAATCACAAATGACGTCAGGAGGTGGTCTGTCAACCGGGTTCTCAGTCACTTTCGGAGAACATTGCGAGAGAAAGAAGAACGACAACTGTATGGCATATAGTCTGGTAATTAATAATAATTAATCAGGTACCATCTGGCCAAATCTGAATTACGCACATTTTCTTTGTAAATCAGGGTTCAAAGTGTACACACCACTTTTACACATGAAAGTGCCCACGGTGAGGTGAGACTTGCCTCCCGGACATGCGCCGAGGCAAAAATTACTTCGTATTCCAGGCGTCCGTGTTAATACAAGTATCTATTTCGCATCAACAACAGCAACAACAGTGTCAAATCTTAGATCTTTATTAATCGCTACTGCCATACTTATTGAAAGACTAGAGATCAATAAATACCTAACCTAGGCATGCACTGGTGCCGCGGCCCGGTATGGTCGTTCCTGACTCGGCAAGGTTTTTATTTTTTATTTATTTTTTTGCAACTGCCTTGCGCATGTCAGTGCAAGTCGTATGTAGCTGCTGCCGTCTATAATATTAGGCACCTTCAATGGTAAAAGATTGCTTGCTTATTTGTACCTCCTCCTTACCCCGACAACCACCACCGTCTTCATTCATGATCTGCCATGTAGGCATTTTTTAATAGTGTGTGGCTTCAGCATCTTCAGCATCAACGTCAGCATAGGAACGATCGCTCACGCTGACTGTTACATCCCGCATTCCCGCATTCCCGCATTCTGCATTCCGCATCTACCGGTTTATTGCTGAGTCTGTTCCTATTTCTGGCATTTGTGCTTTGTTATAGAGAGAGACGTACATACATATCTGCGAACCTGCCGACTGTCAGCGCCTTGAATGTGTTCGACAACTTAGCCACGTTCACCAGTTCTTTGGTCCTTGAATTGGCTTTTCGACGAAACAACGAACCCCGCCTTAGCCCCGCCATAATTGCGTTTGCCAGAACATGTCGTCGTCCGCGACAAACGTAGAGACTAACGGCAGCGTTAATGACCATGTTCTACGAGCTCGCCTGAACAGATCCCAAGATTCGCCGGTTTTCAAACTAGTTAGGCAACGAAGTTCCAGCTCCATTGATGCCCTGGTCGACGTGCCGCATGATACGGCCTCAAATGTGACAAGGTACGTGGTAAGAAGTCTCGTGGAAGCTGTAACGCTGAACTCTCCTTCAGCGGTCACTCAACCCCCGTATCCGAAAATGCCCCAGCATCGACCAAGGCGCTATCAGTCGCCCGCAAGCAAGTTCGTGCCGAACAGCGACGACGTCTCTTCCCGACCACCGAATTCGCTTCGCGAGTGTCTCACTTCGATCCTAAATCCGATTATCGCGACTTCCATGGCTTCTTCAACCTCTTCTGGATCGGCCTCGCCATAATGGGTATCACTACCATGTTGCGCAATTACAAGGAAACCGGATACCCCTTGCGCCTGCAGATCTGGAGTCTGTTCACCGTCAAGCTCTGGCACTTGGCCATTGCAGAGTTTCTCATGCTCGCCAGCACCTCGGCCAGTGTGCCCCTACATAAAATGTTCAGGAGGAGTCGTGGCGCATGGAGTTGGTATAGGGGCGGCGTACTTGTACAGGGCATATACCAAGTCGTATGGCTAACCTTTTGGATCGCCGTGCCCTTTATCTTGGGTTGGACCTGGACCGCCCAAGTCTTCTTCCTGCTGCATACAATGGTGTTGCTGATGAAGATGCATTCCTACGCCTTCTACAACGGCCACTTGTCTGAGACAGAGAAGAGGCTGCAAGCTCTTGACCAGCCGAGGAGCGCTTCTAAAGAACCTGCTTATGCCTACCCGACTATCGATAACCCCATGGGCATTCTAAGACACAGTGACATATCCGTTGGTGCCGACGCCGACAGCGATGACGAGGCCCTGTCGCAACTGCGGGACGATCTCGCTCGCGAGCTGACAAGCCCCATTGGCAATATTACATATCCAAGTAACCTCTCTTGGGGGAACTACGCCGATTACCTTCTTTGCCCCACGTTGTGTTACGAATTGGAATATCCGCGCACGGAGTCCATCAATTGGACGAATCTTGTGGCCAAGATAGTCGCGACGTTTGGTTGTATCTTCCTCCTGACGGTCATCTCAGAGGAATTCATCCTGCCGGTTCTGCAGGAATCTGAAGTGCGCCTGAACAACACTACGTCATCGACGGAGAGGCTGCTAATCCTCTCCGAGTCGATCTCTTGGCTGTTGTTCCCGTTCATGCTGACCCTCCTGCTCGTGTTCCTAGTCATATTCGAGTATGTTCTAGGGGCGTTCGCTGAGATCACGCGATTTGCGGACAGGCACTTTTACAGCGACTGGTGGAACTGCTCAGACTGGATGGAGTTTAGCCGCCAGTGGAACGTGCCTGTATACTCGTTCCTGCGGCGCCACGTGTACGCAACCGCGAAGCCCAGTATCGGCCGCAGTAATGCTACCTTTGTCACATTCTTTGTCTCCGCCCTCGGCCACGAAATCGTCATGGCTTGCATCACCAAGAAGTTGCGCGGCTACGGCTTCGTCTGCCAGATGCTTCAGCTTCCCATCGTCATGTTGCAGCACACTCGCTGGGTCCGCTCCCACAAAACAGCGAATAATGTGCTCTTCTGGGTCAGCATGATCCTAGGCCTCAGCATGGTAAGCAGACTATCTACAATACAATAGAATAGCTACCTATTCTATCCACCCATCCCCGCCTTTGCCATCAGTTCTCATCATCCACTTCTTATCTCAATCCCACGTGAAAACAGATCACAAGACACTAACCCGGGAGGCTGATACAGATATGTTCTCTTTACGTTCTAGTCTAGACTACCTAGAAGAGGCTGTGTTTATAAGTATTCCCAAGATTTGATTTTCTAGCGAGCGAGCCGTACCTGCATTGTACTTGTATATACGCTACACTACCTACCTAACTACGTACACACATCTGATTACATAGAGCAATACCGGTAGATAAAAACCCAAACCACTTCTCATATCGTTCAGACGATAAAGATGTTTATGAAGCGGACATGATTGAATAAGAGTATTTACATGAGTTTATTACACTATAAGACTACCTAATTGTTTCAATTGTGATATATTGCCTACATATGTACGGACGTATACTTCCTATCTATCTAGGTATTCTACCTACCTAGACCGCACTCGTTGACTCATAGTTAGTATGCAAGATCCGTACTTTGTAATCGCAGTGTTGATCCTCTCATCATCATATGCCTAGGTATTTATGTAGGTAGTATGATCATCTCATCATCCATTCTCTCACCCTCTCTTCGTTTCTGTCGTATTAACTTATTTCGGCTTGGTATAGCTCTCAACTTTTTTTTTTTCTTTTCTCACTCACATTACCCAGTGACTCATAGATACCTACCTACCTACTAGTAGTACCTACTACGTCCGTACATAGGTACTTCCCCATTATACCTACCTACACTACGGTCCGGTCCTTAGTGTGCGTACACTACCTACCGGTACGGTAGGTATTCTTATGTAATGCGCGGGATGTTGTTCGCGCTACCGACTCACCGGTACCTTAGCTACCTACCTAGGTACATACCTACCTAGGGTAGGTATCTTTCCACACTTTTAGCCTAGGTGTCTTTCTACACTGACAGTCTACAGACCAGACATGAGTACCTACCTACCTTAGGTAGGTAGGTAGAAGTAATGTATGTATGTACTTAGGTAGGTTAGGTACATAGGTAAGTTTACGTTCACCGTAATATACACCGCTGCTGTAAGAGGTAGGTATCTATCTAGTACGCAATTCGGAATGGGAATGCGGTGGGTAGACTACCTACATACGAAGAAGAAGTGCAGACTTGCTTGCTTAGGTAGGTAGGTAGGTAGGTATGTAGGTATGCTTACACTTCACTTCACTTCATAGCGAGCAGGGCGCTGGCTGTTATGTATGCGATTTTCATACACTATTCTCACGTACGTACACGTGGTGTGTAGTGTAGTGTAGTGTAGTAGGTAGTGTGTTCAATACCTACATGATGATGCAGTAATTAATACCTACCACCTATGTAGTATTAGCAAGCTACGAGTCGTGATATCTATATCTACGAGTTCCCTTTCCAGCGTACAGATCCTATGGATAGATAGATAGATCGGTAATACGGACGTACCCAGC